CATGAACGGGGAGCGCGGTGCCTTTCCTGTGGGGCAGAGCACAGCAGGGAGGGTGGGGCGGGAGTAGGTCCTGAGAAGACATAGCAGTGTCTTTCAAGGTAAGCACCTCAAGGGGGCCGCAACAGTTCTTCAGATAAAGGGCTACCTTCCTTAGCAACAGGTGTGAAGGCTACTTCTACAGACCTGCAAGCTCTCCCTTGTCAAACTGCAGACGTGTGTGGCTTCTCATCCCTCTTTTGGCTGCATAAGGAATGTTGACCTCCATTGTTATTACGTAAAATCTTACCTCTAACCAAGTATCTGTTTGCTGCTTAGCTTGCCCAGTGAGGTCTTCTCAGTAAGTTACTTGTATTTGCCTCCTCCCCGCCGCAGCAGGGAGAGGCTGCAGACCCGGCCACGTGCCCCCTTGAGGCACATCAGCCTGTTAGAGGCCCTGGAAGTCTTACAGTGAAGAAGCCCATGAACCGGGCTGAACCTGAGGTTTCCAAGTTTGTATGACCACGAGTTCATGTCGGGAAGTCTTCGCCTATAGAACTAAGACTGAAAACAAAAACAAAAAAACCTGGAAAATGCAGACTTAATAAGCAGCTATGGCCGGAGATGAAATGGGGGGATTTTGTTGTTGTTGTTCATTCTTAGCTATCTAATTCCCATTTAATAATAAAGATCCAGCCCTGACTGATGTGGCTCAGTCGGGCGGACATCGTCCTGCACACTGAAAGGTTGCGGGTTTGAAGTCCCAGCTAGGGCACATGCCTGGGCTGCGAGCCTGGTCCCCGGTCGGGGGCTCTGCAAGGCACAGCCGATCAATCGATGTTTCTCTCCCTCTCTTTCTCTCTCCCTTCCCCTCCCTCTAAAATAATTAAATAAGTAAAATCTTAAAAAAAAAAATAATGAAGATCCAAAGCAATACTTTCCTAAGTATTAATAGAAGAATGCTGTGCATTATTATACTGTGTTAGTAGCTGTTGTGGAAGCATTGATATTTCTGCCATGTCCACCCCGCCGGGTGTCTTAGGCCTCATCTGTTTGTTGCCTGAAGGGTCCCCCTCTGTCCTAGTGGGGCTTGGGCCAACCTGAAAACTTGTCAGCTGTCCTCGGGAGCACCTTCCTAGACCTATTTTGGGTCAATGGAATGTGGGATATAATCCTCACAACCTGACATCCCAGAGAGAGGACTGATTCCTGCAGAAACCAGAGACAGGTGCCGCCAGCTGCCTGGGGTTCCAGGCCCCTCGCCAAATGGTGACCTCCCCTCCCCTGAAATGAATTAGCCTTTTCCACCCAGGACAGTGGAAGGGCCTTGGCATGGCATGGTATGAGATACAGAGATGTGTTTTGTTAAGGGGAGTGAGGCAATTTTGTCCTGATCACTTCTGAGTGCACGAGAGAACGAGAGCGTGTCCAAACGGGACACAGGAAGCTGTGGAAAGCAGAGGAACAAGGAACCTTGCAGAAGGAAGTTGCATGCGAGGTCAAGCTGAGTGAAACTGAAATAAATTTTAAAACTGAAGTTGAATATCAAAAGTGAACCGATGCAAAAGTTTGGCACTTTCTCTGTTAAAAAAGACTGTTGGTCTGCTACTGATATTATGAAGAGGTTTTCTGCCCAGAAAGCAAAGATGCTGTGTTTTATCAAAATAATTTCCTGTTTTATGTTGTCTTAACCGGGTCCTTGATTACTTAAGAAAACTGAATCTCCTCAATAGTGAGACCTAAGTCATGCGAACATTTATGTAAAGTTCTGTATCTGTGTTTGAAATCCATTATCACTTTGGTGAAATGGATGATTAAGTGTTGCTTCATAACAGTTTATGATCCTGTTTAGTCAAATGTCCAACCCTTCTGACGTATTTTGACAAACTTGCCAAAATTTAAATTACAAATGACTCTTAACCTGGAAATAACCTGGAGGTATTTCACAAGGGCCCCTGAACATCTCAAGCGATTTGTTCTCTCTCCTTACTAAAGAGAGATACTAAACAAATGAGGTCTGTTTAGTATGCTCAAATTACAGGGGAAGCTTTGTAAATAAGGAAATAATTATGCTATATTTATATGTGTTCCAAATGTTCCAGAAACCCCCGTGGAATTCCTGCAAATATGAGTCATCGGGGGCCCTTCTGAAACGCCTCAGGGTTAAATCACCAGAGTCGTTCTCGCTGCCTGCTTCAGGACTCGGAAATCGCTATCACAGTCCGCTCCGGTGAGGAGCCTTCAATTTTCTTGTGTTTCCATAGAGATGCCTCCTAGGAGACGCCCGGTTTCTGCCTCATGGGCAATGAGGGAGCCCACCAGCGCCACTGCCTCCAGACACGGGACGCAGCTTTACCCAACCTGAACTTTCCTCACAGCTGCGACTGGTTTAATGAGGTATAGAACCACCTACCACCCCAACTTCTGGAAATCAAAACTTCCGGATGTTTCACAGGAGAGAACTCTGGGGATTCAGTGCTAGTCACCCTAAGACAGGCCTCCGAGGTATGCAGACTCTTTTGAGCTGAAGGCAACTTGAGCAGAGGCTCAAGAGAAACTTCCCCCTTCTCCTCCCCTTTAAATACCTAGAAGAACTTGAATGAGCGCCCTTGCCCATAAGAGGTTATCAGAGATAACTAACTTCTTTTCACCTTCCTATAGGGCTAGACAAACTTCTATATAAAATACTCAAACTCATCTGTTCTTTGTATGATCCCGCAATGACCCTCTGAAGCCCCCAAGGTGTATGGCTCCATCTCGAGCTCAGGGTGTCTTGTATTCCTCAGTCCCCCTGTCTCTGAACCTCTCCTGCGTGTGGGGGTGGGGGATTTCTCTCACATGCATGCAGGGCTTCCATACACACGTATGTGGTAAATTTAGGCATTTTATTTTGCTAAAAAAAAAAAAAAAAAGCCTGAGTATGAACTCTAAATGGTCACTTTCATAAATCACCAAGCATGTCAAGAATCCTGCTTCCTGGCAGGAGATGCAAGTATCATCTGTGACATTTGTTTTTACTGTGACCCTTCTCTCCAGCTTCTCAAGGCTGTCACTTCTGACCATAAATAAGACATTTCTAAGTGACCTCACTTCTGAAAGTCCAGAGCCTCCCACCCCAAGCTATTTCCTCCTTCAAGCGAATTTTGCCTTCATCCTTGTCAACAATCATTGCCTCCTGGTAGTTCTCTGTTCCAGGGGTACTGTGCTAGTTAAATCTTTATGCCATTTAACTCCTTACATAATTATCTCTGTTGGCTTTTAAAAACACAATCGTATGTCAAATACCTTTGCATCTATGCAGCACCTTGTCATGAATTCCTTAATGAGTGTTTACTCAATGTAATGTTTTCAGTGATGATTAAATGGTCACAACCATGTTATAAGCTGATTGACTTTGCCAAGTGCAACACCGTCCAGGCCTTTGGCATTCTCCCCAGAGCATTATCCATGTGCAGAACGCACAGGAGTTTGCTTTTAAGGTTAGTTTTGCCCTGCAGGTGTGACTTGGTGGGTTGAGCATTGTCTCTCAAACAGAAAGGTCACCTGTTTGATTCCTGGCCAGGGCACATGACTGGCCATCAATGTCTCTCTCACACATTGATATCTTTCTCCCTCTTCTCCTCTAAAAATAAAAAAATAAAATCTTAAAAAAAAAATTATAGTCTCAAAATCAGTAATTAACAAAAGGATTAAAATCACAAAGCTCAGCCCTGGCCAGTGTGGCTCAGTTGGTTGGAGCGTTGTCCTGTAAGCAGGAGGTCAAGCTGGTCAGGGCGCATAACCACGTTGCTGTTCTATCTCCAGTCAGGGCGCCTCCGAGAAGGCAACCAATCGATGTTTCTCACATCAGTGTTTCTCTCTGTCTCGCTCTCTGAAGCAATGAAAAAATGTCCTCAGGTGAGGATTTAAAAAAAGAAAATCACCACAGTTCAGCACATTTGAGCAGTTAAAATTACTTCAGAATTGCCAAGGTGGAAGATACTTAGTGCCACTAACTTTAAATTGGGTAATTTAACTTTGATAAGTTACTATGTAAGCCAGTGCTATTTATAAAGATTTTATTTTCAGAGAGAGGGGGAGGGAGGAAGAGAGGGGGACAGACACCAGATGTGTGACGTGCACAAGAGAAACACTGATCGGTTGCCTCTCGTACACCCCCCACTAGGGATCCAGTCCACAACCCAGGCATGTGCCCTGACTGGGAATCGAACCCAAAACCTTTTGGTTCGCAGGCCATTGCTCAATCCCCTGAGCCACACCAGCCAGGGCAAGCCAGTACTATTTAAATCAGGGAATGGGGCAAACACAAATATCGGGTTGGCCAAAAAGTTCGGGGTTTTTTCCGTAAGGTGGCTCTAGCAATGCTTAGGTGTCTTTAACTTCATTGGAAATAGTTTTGTTGGATGTACTGTGACAGCTGTCGTATCAACATGCATTTAAAAAAAAAAAAATCAAAGTTGATGAATTTTTGTGCAGCCATTTTAGTATGAGAATGGAAGAAAACAACACTTTCAGCATATTATGCTTTATTATTTCAAAAAAAGGTAAAATGCAACGGAAATGCAAAAAAATATTTCTGCAGTATATGGAGAAGGCGCTGTGGCTGATCAAACATGTCAAAAGTGGTTTGAGAAGTTTCTTGGTGCTGTTGACATTCTAACCAAGTCATTGTTTGCTGTGGGCTGTCTCATGCATTGGAAGATGTTTGGCAGCACCCCTGGCCTCTGCCCACTGGGAGCCAATAGTGGGAGGCAGCCGGCATACTCAAAATATCCAAATCAATAGTGATTGGTGAAAGTGAAAAAAATGTCGTTTATTTTATGGAAAATACTAAATGGACTTTTTGGCCAACCCAATATATTCTTAGTAAATTAAAACTTTCATGGCCTTACCTTATCATTCTTCATTAGTACCAACATCCTTTTATAAAAAGCAGCAAAACATTCAGGTTTCTTAAAACTCAGCACCTCGATGCTGAGCATTCAGGGACAACGGACTCGGAATAAACTGCTAAGAGTCTCTGCCAGAATCATTCATAATAAAACTTTATTGAACAAAAAACCCAGCAAAGGCCTTCACCTCTGCAAATTTCCCCTTGGTTGAGAGTAAAGCTGTGCATTTTAAAAAGCAATTATACAGAAGTCTTTCCTAGAAAAGTCCTGCTAAAACATGTCTAGCAATTTCATTGATTATATAAAGTAGTACACTTAGTGTAATTTGAACATTCCAACAGGAATCAAATCGTACCAGCAGAACCACTTCTGCCTCTATGACGTCTATGTACAAACACACATGCAGACACACACATCCGGAAAAGTTCCTCAGGCATAAGCATGCGACACTAATGCCTTCTATTTACAATGCCTATTAAACTACATACAGTATATATTAAAGCTCTTCAAAATAAAGACATGAGAAGCCTTGGGCATTATTTTGTTCATCAATTTGTATCATGGCTTCACGTCTTATTTTCTGCTTTTGCTTGATCACAAAAGCATACTGTCGTCCTTTATTGATTCTTCTACTAGTTCTGCGCCACTGCCGTGTGCAGGTGAGGAAATCTAGCTGGAGTCAAGTGACCCAGTCCATGTGTGTCCAAGCCTCCGGCAGCCAGAGAACAAACAGCATCAGTTTGCTATGGCTGGCGGGCCTTCCGGAAGGAGAGAGGCAAAGAAAGTCTTGAAGACGAGCCACGCTGTGCTCATAAATGAGGGGCTGGTCTGCTGGCCACCTGGTACATCCCTGTCTGGAGGGAGGTGGTTGGGGTCTTCCATTTCAGGATTGGGGCCTTCCTGCAGGTAATGAAACACAATGAGAAAACAGTAAGGACCGTGACAAATGCCAAGTAACGTTGCGCAATGGCAGAGCAACTCCTGGGCCCGCACCACAGGCGAAGCAGCCAGCCGGCAGGACCCCAGGGAACGCTGTGCTGGCCGGAGTCTCTCCGTCTCCAGAGCGCAGCCACGCTGGTGACAGGCTCGTGGCTTTGGCTATTCCCAGCAGCAAGTATCAAAACAGATGAAGTAACCAGATCTTCAGCTACCGTTCAACAAGTTATTGGATTAACTTTGCCAATAAATACAGATATTCTTCCACTTCAGGCAATGCCGCGAGTTAAAAAAAACTAAACACGGAAACCCAGGGTTCCAAAACAGATACTAGTGTGCCAATTTATATTACAAAAGAATATCCTCTAGAATTATGCACTAAAGTGCCTTATAAAAATTCTATTTCTGTATGCTCTTTTTCAGAAAATCAGTTCTGTGAGACATGATTATGCTCTTAATCCTCAATTAGAATAACTATCCACTAGCGCTGCCCACGGCATTAACACACTGTTACAGACCACTGAACACTCAGAAGCGTGAGCTTAAAAGAATTATTTCAATATTCCAAAATGCAAATTGCCACATGATAAAATACTTGATAGATGCTATGACATATTTATTCTTTTAAAAATAGCTACTGTTCTAAGAATAAATTGGAAAACATCTTGAGACAGTTAGCCTAATAGAACGAGGAACCACAAGACGGGCTATTCAAAGGCAAAGGACTTTGAAGCCTGGCTCTCACATGGCCGGCTTCATGGGAAGCTGCGTACCTGTAGGTTATTGTTGGGGTCCTGATTTACAGCTTCCTGAAGGGGACCATCATTCGGAAAGTTCTGGACCGGCCTCTGTCTAAACGGAAACCACCCAACGTGATGCCTTCAAAGGAAGCACACAGAAGTCCATCTTAGCTAACATCACAATGGGATTTACCCCAGAATTTAAGGTCTTCTCATCAGTCCCCTTCACTCCCCTCCCGGAATCAGAGCAGCATCCGTTAGAAGCTCCCAGCAAAGCCCATCTGCCAGGACGTCCTATCGCACCGTCCCCGAGGCTTTCTCACCCGCCTGTCAGGTTCTTACAGGGGTGGGATTATTCACCATCATACACCCAGCCACCTACACAGCACCCGGCACATAGTATGTGCTCAGTAAGTGCTGGAGTTGCCGCTGTAAAGTGTGATTTGGACTAAGGGGAAAAAAAGGAGAGCGAATCATCTGCTTACAGGTACATAACCACGGTGGCTCCCATGACCATGAGGAACCTGCTCAGGGAGGAGTAGAAGTAGAGGATACTGAGGAAAACGGAAAACGTTGCTGCCGAATAGGTCCAGTCCAACCAATCGCGATTTATCTCATCATCTTCTTCCACGATAGGGCCACCTTGGGCATTCATCCGCAAGTTCTGATTGGCCCCGGGATTAACCACCACTTGAGGAGCAGCGTTCTGATTGGCTGGCTGGTTTTCAGCTGGAAACTGGTTGTGAATAGGAGTTGGAGCAGGCGCGGAGACCACAGGGATCTCTTGTGCACTTGGCGAGGGAACAAAAGTCCTCGATGCAGCAGTGGCCGCTAAGCTAAAACAGGAGTGACAAAGGCAGATATGGTTGAGAGCAGAGCACCGTGAAGACGGTGGTTCTTGTCACCTTATTTACACAGGAGTCTTTTACTGTGAAGAATTATAAATGGGCCATACAAACAATTTTTTCTTTCACTTAGTGAAGAACTTCGTTACTAAGAGTCATACCTATACATGCCTTTCCTGCTCCTAGAAGCAACATGATAAACTTTGCCTGGAATGAAGCATCCCGGTCACTGTAAGAGTATAGTGCCGTAGCAAATTAAAATTTTCACAAAACTTTAAAGATCCCACATATTGAAAAGGAAGTAATGTCTTCTATGTGAAGTCCCAGACCACGTATCAGACGCCAGCACCCCTGCGTCAATACACAGATTAGCCAGCACTTCTCACTTCCATTCTCCTCCACCCACAGAACCAGAGGAGGGCTCTGCACAAGCGGGTGAGCACCCCTAACTGTCTAGGCAACACGGATGGGTCACCCCTGTTCCCGGGCACCCTGGCTGCCCCCAACGTGGCGGGGAAGGACTCACTACTGCATGTAGTACTGCCGGGCGTAGATCTGCTGGAACCAGGAGAGCTGCAGCCACCCGTAGGTCGCGTAGCCCGAGAAGCCGGGCCCCAGGCTTTGGAACGCCAGCTGGGCAGCCTCAGGCCTAGGAGAGATGGTTTTAAATGCACATTTTGAGTTGGTTTAGTACAGATAAGTGAGGACTGAGTTTAAAGGACTGTGTAGCTCGAGCACAGAAAGGGCTGGCTGACGAAGCCCTCCTACGCGACCCCCGGAGAACACAAGAGCCCGTGCCAGCGCTGGGTTGTCACCGTGCCGCCACCATAATGTACAAACAAGCTGGACTTCCTCAGGCTAAGTGGATTCCCACCCCATTTATGGCTTGCCGAGTCTCACGGCAGGTCTAAATCCACTGCTCATCCTTTAGAAAGCAGCTCTCAAAAGCCACTTCCTCCCAAAGCCTTTCCTGAGGAAATTCCCCACCCTTCCCAATACCCACTTCTCCCCTGCCTCTGCACCCGACTCTGTGCAGGGGTCAGCGATGTGTGCAGGTGGCCTCGCCACACTTGCTCACTGGCCACTGTGCCCTGTACCAGCTGCTGGGCCGATCCCTGACAGCCTCATGGGGAGGGAGCTCTCCTCAGCTTCACAGAGGGGAGCCCCAAGTGCAGCTCAGGGAAGACCAGAGACTTGTATGCACAAGGAAACACTGAGCTAGGAAGTAGCAGGGCTGGATTTGAGAGCTGTCTGACACTAAACAAACTCATTTTTCTATCACGCAACTCAACCTTAAACCTCCGAGGCCAGGGCATGGGAGCCGTCGGTGGCTTTGTGGGCTGTGCACAGGGAGCCCCGCTCACGGAATGGAAACTAAGAGAACTGCGGGAGGATCAGGAGGTGATTAAGGGGTCGTCTCTGCTGGGCAACTCGTTTCTTCCTTAAACAAAGTTACGTGCACTGGCTGCTCAATAAATATTTGTTGAGTGGAACCATCAAGTTTTATTCCAGTGAAATTCACAGCAGTCAGACATGGGCCTCAATTCTCAAGCTGTATAGTCAGAAGAAGGGAAGCAGTTTTAAGTGTTTCTATCTAATCAACAATTTACATGTTGACAGTCTTTTAACCAAACTCCATACCCAGAGTATTTCCAATACAAATAGGTCTTGGTGTGATGCTGTTTTTAATTAAAAATTACAGTGTGTGAAAACAAGAGGATAACAAAGTGCTTTCGTCAGCTCTGATGATGACAGCACTGCAGACAGGCAAGGAAACTAACAGGTTTTTATGATTGTCCTGGTTGTGGGGCTCATTGGATCAGGCGGCAGCCTGGGAACCAAAAGGTCACTGGTTCGAGTCCTGGTCAAGATATGTCTGGGTTGTGGGCCAGGTCCTTAGTTGGGGGTGTGTGAGGGACAACCGAGAGGTGTTTCTCTTGCACATCGATGTCTCTTTCCCTTTCTTTCTCCCTCCCTTCCCCTCTCTCTGAAAATAAAATATTTTAAAAAATAAAAAAAGGTTTTTTACGGAGACATATTGAGTATGTAGGGGCTGAAACGACATGAGGTCTAGAAATAACTTTTAAATCTTCTGGAGAAAAAAAGGGAACAGAATAGATGGAATGAGTGTGGCAACACTTGGATCATTATTGGGCCTGGGTGATGGTTATGGGGTGACTCTTTATACAGTTCCCTCTACTTTTGTGTATATTTGAAATTCCCATTAATTAAAAAAAACCTTTAAGAAACTCCTCATTCCTCATACACCTGGATTTATCAATCATCACGTATTAAAAACTAGGAGCTTTTATAACAAGGTACCCCAAGAGCTATGAGTTCCAAATATCTGTGCCTTTGTCACTTCTGGCTTTTGCTCGAAAGGAAAACGCTCTTTTACCGCTCTCCAGAAAATGGCCTTTCTTCCTGGTGCCACCAGCACAGTCCTTGGCAGAGCATCGCTTAAAACAGCCCCTTCCCCGCCTGCCACCCAGCGTCACGACCAGCCACCCAGCACAGGCGCCGCACTGATCTCCTGCCCTGAGGCCAGCCCGGCCAGCCCGGCCAGCCCAGCCGCGCAGAAGGGGAGATGCCTTTCAATGCATATATGTCTCTGCTTTTTTGTATGTTCCCAAAAGGCTGTGTAGTAGGAAAAGTTAAACATATAAAAGATCTTTAAAGTGAAACCCTTATAAAGCAACACTTTGTACCTTTTGAAGTTCTACGACTACATAATGTAAACACGCCTTATTCTTAAACTGCCGCAAATGCTGTGCATTCACGTGGTATAGACCTGGTCCTTGCGTGGGACGCTCACCTGGAGATGCTCTCCCATCCAGACGGAGACAGGTGCCGAAGGGCCTCCCTTGGCCTCAGCCCTTCCCCGGAGGCCTCCCCAGGGTGCTGCGCCTGATTAGGACCAGCGGGCTGCTCTGTGGGTTCAGCGACCTAAGTAAACGGGACAGAAACGTGAGAACAAAGGGTCCGCTGCAACTGGCTGAAATCAACTACGAGAACTATTCTGCTGTCAATGACTGATGTCCCCCACTTGGACCCCTGACCATGCCTAGCTTCAACAGATACAATGCTGTGTGAAAAAATTTCTGAAATTTGTTCAACACAATTTCAATACATATTTCAATATATAAATATTTCATTCATAATGTTTCCTTGAGTAACTATGCTAATCCATTTATTAAAAGCTTCCAATGAAGTTATCATTGCTAAGAAGCTTCTTAATAATTCATGCTCTGTGTATCTTATGGCTACTTTTACTAAGTCAAGAAATTAAATTTGACCAACAAGATTTATAAATACAACCCAGCCAGCAACCTAAAGCAAAGAATTTCCTGAGCTATGTTGAGATGTTTTGGGAAATGCAGATGCAAGGCCGAGTTAGCACGTGTCGCCACATTTATTAATACTGTATATTTCAGTCAATACTGTGAAATGGAAAAGAAACGATTTTGACTGTCACTTGCCCTGGCTGGTGTGGCTCAGTGGGTTGAGCGCAGGCCTGCGAACCCAAAGATCACCAGTTTGGTCCCCAGTCAGGGCACATGCCTGGGTCGTAGGCCAGGTCCCCTGATGGGGGCGTGCGAGAGGCAACCAATCGGTGTTTCTCTCGCACATTGCTGTTTTTCCTCCCTTTCTTTCTCCCTCCCTTTCTGTCTCTCTAAAAAAATAAATACAATCTTAAAAAACAAACAAAAAAACCCCGATGATGTCTTTAAGGATCACATGATAGAGACTCGCCTTTTCTTATCCAACTAAATCACAATGAACCTTTGCAAAGAAGCTATATTCACTTTTTTACTCTATAAAAATTAATAGCTCCTTAGAAGAAAATTATGCGCTACCGTCAATAAAAGCTCATTTTAGAGTGTCTTGTTAGTTCGGTGATCTGGATACACAGCCATCGTAGGTCAAATCGTATCCCAGAAGACACGGTGGCTGGAACTCTACCTGTCTACTCCAACAGTAATGGAATTGTCTCCTCTTGTTATAGTAAACCCTCACTTGTGTTGATAACAGTTTCTAATTCCCAGTTCTTGCCCGGGAAGAAACAAAACATGACGCCACAAAGGCTATAAAATCTCTCAAGAGTTTTATCCAACTTCCTTTCTTCCTGCCTTACGAGTCTGAATGACACAGGTTATTATACTCACGACAAAGGGGACATACCTTCCCGCTGGTTTCTGGCATTTTGGAAGGACTCTTCACATTGCACACCAAATGCAGAACGTGCCGGGTTTCCTGCTAAAAGTCACAGGGAGGTACTTTAGGACCTGAATCCCCCCGGTAAGAGCTTCAAAACATTCCCAAGTTAATATTTAAAAGATGTACCTTTGGAAGCAGGTCCCTGAGACACTGGTTATCCAATAACAGCTTCCCAGAATAAATTAACCTCTGGTCCTCCGGACGCTTGTCATGGAAAGAAAGAGAGGCAGAGTCAGCACTTAACCCCGCAAGTTCCCATACACAGAAGACTGCTTTAGACAAATAATTTAAATTTGTTTTTTTCCCCAGCATCACAGGAAAACATTTCTTCAAAGGCCCATATACAGAACTTTCCTTAAGAACGTGCTAAAGTTTAAACTGGTCTCTAACACGTAAATCAAGTTAGGGTGGCACATTATCTCCACTCCCCAAAGGGACAGCAGCCTGCTTGACTTACGTCTCTGGAAAACCGCCTTCTGCCACTACAAACACCCATCCGATGGGGGGGGGGGGCTCCCACAGCACGCGACGTCCACACTTACGTTTTGTTTCAGAGGAAGTTCAAAGCACTCCCAAAGTCAGCCTCCACCAAAGCCACCTACTATTATCCCAGAGTCACACGAAGCGATTCCAAACCTAGGCCCCCAAAGAGACACTGACAACAGCCCTGTGAGTGTCAGCATCTCTGTTTTAAGGAGGAAGGTCTGAGACTGACCTGCCAGAGTCCAGATGCCAATCCCTCTTCTCCCGCCCAGTGATTTGAAAACCACTGGGACTCCACCTCCTTTTATACCAATCTCACTTTTAAAATTCTATTTTTAATTTTTATGCACAGTTTAACAAACTGTGCATAAAGACAATGGCCTCAAACGTGAAAGTCAGGGCACCTGACGATGCCCCCGCCCCGCCCCGACTTGTCAACCTGCTCTCGCCAGAATAACCAATGATGCAACACTTGGAATCGAGCTGCTCCTGCCAAGTAGCCCAAGATTATAAAGCAGGTGGTTTAAGGCAAAGTAAACAATAACCGCACCTATTTGAATCGGGTTTCTCCAGCTGTGCAGCAAAAATGTGTTCACCACCATTCCCCCCCGATTGACTTTATCGGTAAATGCTATCTACGCACGTGATTTTGTAAAATGCTGTTGCAGAGGTGGGTCCTGAATTATGTGAAAAAGTTCCACTCTGGAAAAGGTTTGAAAACCACAGCTGCCTGCCATTTAGATTGTTTTCCCTGTTAAAGGCCTATGTTGACACTGTGTTTTCACCCAGAAGGCCAATTAGATAAAAAATTAAATAGTAAGCAAACTGTCATAAAGTAAGGCTTCTCACGTTAAAAAAACAAATGAGTACTCCCCTGTTGAAACTTTGAAACCCGAATCTGCACACCTGGGAGGCCTGTCACGGACAACTTCGGGGTCTTCGGATTCCACGGGGGTGATAATCCTTGCCCAAGGAAGCCCTTAGGAAAGCCCTTCTCCAAATGATGCAACTCTGGGCAACACCTGCTTTGCCAATTTGTGTACCTAACAGCCATTCTTACAGCAACACAGGCACCTGCTTTCTTGGTAGCAGCTGTGGTAAAACTGCTGCGCCCCCAGGTGGATGCAAATTAACGGGCAAATTTCAAAAGAACACCTACGAAGGCACACTCTTCTACACGTGACATTGAACAAACATGAAACAAAAACACCCTGGCCCCTGAGCAACCACGTGCCCTGCTGCAACCCTGCAGATAAGGCGGAACTGTTTCCCAACCCTTTCCCGCCCCATGCCCTCTCCTGTGGGGTGGAGAATTACACTTGTGGACAGTGGAGAGCGCTGCTGACACTTACAAAATGTTAGAGTGGAAAGTAAATACGGGGAGGTCCAATGCACAGCCTCTGTCACATGGGAGGGAGGGCGGTGATAAGGGTTATAATGACAGACGTGTCAACCAAAACAAAGCAAGGAAGTCTCCGGAACTGAGGCACCAAAGCCTTAAACTCAGGCTCAAGGAGACTCCCTTCCGCATGTGTCCCTTCTAAGTCACTCATCACCCGAAAGTGCACTTGCTCCCTCCTGGAGCTGAGCAAAGGCTGGTCTAGTCGAGGGAGCAAGCGTGGCAGGGAGGGGCCGGGGCGGGAGGTGGACAGGGAAGGGAAGAGCCAAGTCTCGCTCTGGCTGTGGGACCTTAAGTGCACATTGCCTGGGCGAGCACCATGTTTCTCTGCCCAGTGGCCTGGGGTTGGCACCTGCCCTCCCCCTCTCCGCAGCGAGACGCTAGCTGCACTCAGAGAACTCCTTTTCGCCGCATTTTTCTTATTTCTATCCGTTGGAGGCAATCTTACTGAGAAACACTTAGCCGTCCTGTAGTTTTGGGGGAAACGGAGGCTTGAAGGGTGAACTGACTCACCCAAGGTCAAACTGCTGTTTCAGCGTCTTGGCTAAGGCTGGACACCAGATCTAGGGGGTCGGGGAAAGGGGTCTGGGGCGGCAGGGCAGGAGGGTGACAGCCGTGGGGATTGGGGAAGAGGAGAGGGGACAGGAGAAGGCAGCCCGTCAGGGAAGTGGGGCGATGGCGGCCTAGGACCAGGAAGTGACAGCCACAGGGCCAGGAGAGGGGACGCCTTCAGAGATAGGGAGGGAGGGGGGGACCACAGCCCTGGACGAGGTGACCTGGTGAGTACCCAAGACCGAGGGGCGGCGGACGAAGGCAGAAACTACAGGGAAGGGGGAGGCGGACGTGGCATCCCTGGGGGCAACGCGAGGAGGCCGGAGCGAGGGGAGCGCTGGCAGCGGGCGCCGGGGGCCCCTCTTACCGGGCGCTCGGGGTAGACGCGGCTCAGGTGGGCCTTGAGGTGCCCCACGCTCCAGCTGCGGTCGCCGCTCAGCTCCAAGTCGCGGTGGCGCTGGTTGGGGCTCTTCACCAGCAGGGTGACAGGCTCGGGGTCGACCTCCATGTCGGCGTCGCCGCCGCCCACAAGCTCTGCAACGACCGTTCGCGTCTTTGGGGCGCGCGCCCCCTCCTGGCGCCGCCTTTATAGTCAGCCCGCACCCGGTCCCCGCTAATGGAACCCTGTGTGGCTGCCGCCCGTTGGCTGAGGCAGAGGCCACTGCCCCGACGTGGCCCAATCGGAGGCCGGATCGGTGGGCGGAGGGGCGGGCAGAGCACGTGGGCGCGGCTGATGCAACCCGCCGAGTTTGCGTCACCCAGCGTCGCGGCTGCAGCCCAGACCCGGGGTTCGGTGTCCGTCTCTGGGTACGCCGCGGTCCGCTGGACTGCTGCCTAGGTCCGGGTGATCAAGGCACCTTAGGGAGGGCCGTCCCGGCCGACTCTCAGTTTGGCAGCCTCTGCAAATTGTTTGCTCACAAAGCAGCACCCTGGCGTCAAGTCCCGTGTCCCCTTTCAGGGCCGCCGGAGGGAGGGACCGAGGGACAGCAGGCCCTCCTGTACAACCTGACCTTGCAGGGGAGGCTGCCCCCACCCCTACCTTATTTGCGAGCCCACCCAGAAGGCAGACCCCAGGCACATTATAGAAGGGTAAGGAAGAAACTGGGCAGTTCTTCCTGAGTCTGAGGATGGAGACCTCTGACCCAAAGTTGCCAGTTCATCTGTGGCCTTTGACTTGAAGGTTACATCCTCGAGCATGAGACATCCACCTTATGACCAGCAAGCAGCCCACAATCCAGCTTACACACGGAGGCACTGGAAAAGGGGCCGCACCTTCTAGGTGGCTCACAGGTGCTTCCTTTAAATTGGGGCTGAGACAAGGAGGGCAGGATTCTCAAGTTTTTAAAAATGTGATCCCGAAGCCCTCTCTAAAGTCGGCCCTCCCTCCCTCTCTTCGTAGGAAAAAGCTCTTGAAAAACAAAACTCATGTGGCGCTGGCCCCATCCTTGTTCCAGTCCTGTTGGGACACCTGGTTTTTTCCAGGTGTGCCAGGAGCTTGGCAAGGGTGGCAGGGTAACAGGAGGAGCCTGGTCTGGTTGGTGGGTGTAGGACCGCACACAGGGTGGCTTTGTTACGAACAGCCAGGGTGTCCCGCTGCCTGCCACCCTCTAGGCAAAAGTCCAGAGCCAAAGGTAGGTGATAAAGGAAAGGAGTCTTTATTCAAAATCGTGAGATACAGAAGCAGCCCAAGCATCCATCAATAGATGAGGGGATAAAACAACTGCGGGATGTTTACACATTGGAATTCTACTCGGTCGTTAAAAAAAAAAAAAAAAAGAAAGAAAAAAAAAAAAGAAAATTTTATCCTTTGCAACAGCAGGGATGGACCTGGAGAACGGGATGCTAAGTGAGATAAGCCAGTCAGAGAAAGACAAATACCATATGATTTCACTCATTTGTGGAATCTAAGGAACAAACTGAATGAACAAGCAAAACAGAGACAGGCTCGTCGATGGAGGGCAGAGGACAGCTGATGGGGAGGGGGCAGCAGGGCTGAGCAAAAAGGAGAAAGGACTCACGGATGTGAACCACAGCGGGGCGGTTGCCGAGGGGAGCAATCGTAAGGGGACTAAACGGTGATGGAAAAATACAATAAAGATTAAATAAAAAATATAAATTTTAAAAAGCTTCACAATTTTAGAATAACAGCTTTCCACAAGCATTAGTCACTTAAGTCTATCAATTAAGGCTAAACTCTTTAACACCTGAGTTCTATCATTCCCCCTGTTAGTTTTAATGATCTTATTCCTATAGGGTTAGTTTACAAACTAAAACAACGTAAGATACGAAACTACACAACTTTGGAAGAATGGCAGGCTTCTGCCTCCGAGCCTGTTCCCCCTTGAACACCCACAGAATAACCCTGCCACCCTCTGCCCGGCCAGCCCGGCCACAGGCTGTGACCTGAGTTCCTTCCCACACAAAACACTGTCTATTGGGAAACACAGGCAGTTGTGACAGGATCATCCAGGTGTTCTCGGGGAAGTGGGTGGAGAGCCTGCCCTTTTTTTATTTCCGTGTGTTCTGGAGGCTTTCAGTTTCTCAGTCAGTCCCTCCTGGACTGTTTATCGTTGCCTCCTACGGCCCCTCCCTACTTCTCCCCAGGGATCTGATCAGCTCTCTCTGTATCCCCTTGAAGGACCGAAATTTACTCTTCCACAGGACCAGAGGCTAGAATTCCAAGATCAAGGTTGGGGCAAGGTTGGGTCCTTTGGAGGGCTTTGAGGGAGAATCTGTTCATGCCCTTTTCCCCTGTTTAGCTTATGGTGGCTTGCTGGCCGTCTTTGGGTTCCTTGGTGTATTGCTGTATCACCCCATCTCTGCCTCCATGGTCATGGGGGCTTTCTCCCTGTGTGTGTCCTTCTGTGCGTGTCTGAATCACTTTTTCCTCCCTTTTTATTAGGACACTGGTCCTATTAGACGAGGGCCCATGCTAATGACTTCGTCTTACTTTTTTTCGCTTTTACTGTTATTACTATTTATTTTATGCTGAATTTACTCCCGGGCTATCTTCGTTTTCTTCTGGGCAATCTTTTTCTTCTGTGCAACCTCTTCTCCTGGTTGGGGAACAATCTGCTTTTTCAGTAGGATCATCTGAGGGTGGCAGGGAGCGTTCACGTGTGGGGCGATCCGCCCATGAGCTCTGCAAGTCCTGCGCCATGTCTTTGGAGGTTTGTTCACCTGGATGCGCTCACGACCAGAGAACCTATATCTAAACCCTTAAGCTCAACACTGCTCTCTGCTTCTTGAAGCACATGCAGCAAAAGCTCAGCCCTCTTTTGGGGACACCGACCCTGTGTCCGACCCCATCGTTTGGACTCCACCCCTGTGTTAACGGAATGGGACACATTGCTTTTATAAAGTGACATCCTTCAGGTACTTGGTGGCTTTTCCAATATACATACCCTTGATGGCCTGGGCAGTTTCACGAGTCTTCTTAAAGTGAACACAAAGATTTGAACCTCTTGATTTGCATGATTTTGTGGGGTTTTCTGGGCAGGCGATTAGTGAACCATTTTCGGAAGTCGCCTCTGGCCATGTTCGGGTAGAGGTCATCTAGATTTGATCATTTCCAACTACGACCCCATTCATAGGTTACTGGGGTTAGAACTTAAAGCATCTTTTTGGAGAATGCGATGCAAACCATAACAGCTGGCCTTGCAATAACACAGAACACGGGGTGGCTTCCTCTCAGCTGTTTTTACGTTAAGGCAGGAGGTAGAGGGCTTTGGAGACCAGCTGTCCCCGTGCTCAGCCCTCTGGGGTGGTTGTTTTGTCCGCTGAGGAACATTGGCTTCATGGGCATGACCCCACCTTGGTTTAAAGCTCTGCTGTCAACATCTGGACATTCCGAATAAATTCTGAATACGTGTTTTCACTCTTCACTGGGTCCTACAAACTATGTAGCTTTTCACACATCAGGATGAAAGAAAATGACTGACTGTGCCCTGGTGGTCTTACAACTAGCAGGACACTGACCGATGGGGCCAGGCCGGATAAAACCAGCCAGAGGCCTTGGAGGGAGCAGCCAGGCAGGACATCACAGCTCCATTGGGAAGTTAAGTATGGCACCCAGCGTGGTGTTCTCTAGCCTGCAGTGACAAGCACCCAGGCCCCTTAAGGTAGCACACTGGTTCCACTCAATAACGAGATCGAAAAGGGGTGTTTCCCCCCAGGGGAAAGGCACTCCAAGGTCCGTAGTTCCCTAGGGGGTTCTGTCCCCATGAGATCGCCTCTTGTAAAGGTGGCTGGTGATTTCGCCTAAAGCATCTTTGGAAAAAGCAATAGATTCAAGTCAACAAAGATGCTGGGAATGGAAGGGTAAACGAGAGTGACCCTGGTCTTGGTGACCTCACAACACTAATGGGGACGATAAGACTGTACAAAAATAGAGAAATGAAAGACAGCCCAAAAGTCTCTTACATTTCTGAAGGAGTGATGAGTACATCAAAGGATTCCACAGAGGCAGAGAAGAGGGGAAATACGGAAACCTTGACAGAAGAGGTAGAATGTAAGTTGAACTTTGAAGGAAGGATGACATTTGAATAAAAATAATACTGGTAGCAGTTATGGGTAAGCCCCACAGGGAACCTATATACAGAACTTGCATGGGCAAATATAGCTCAGTGGTTAAACTCAGGGGCCCAGAGCCACACTGCCTGTTTTCAAACCCAGTTTTTGCCACTTTTGAGCTATGTGACCTTAAGCAAATTACTTAACCCCTCTGTACCTAATTTCCTCATCTTTAACATAGGAAGAAGAAGAATAGCATCAATTTCAAAAGGTGGTTGCGAGGCTTAAATGACCTAACGTTGTTAAAGGTCTTGGGGCGGATTCAGACACGTAGAAAGTGCTCAAGAATGTTAATGATCAATATTTAGGGAACTAGGAGTCCAGTCCAGCAGCGCCCGAATCCTGGCTGTGAAACCGAATCCCTGAGGAACGCTTTCTTTTTTTTAAAGTGAATTCCTGCGACACCTGGAAGGTGGAAGACACAGAGCCGTCGGAACTCTCCTCTGTGGCTAGGAGGACTGTGTAGAGGGACACCCCCGTGGAAGTCGTCTGTCCGTTTCTCATCAAGTTAAACACACTCCCACCCTCCAACAGCCGCTGCTTAGAGGGATTTACCCAAAAGAACTGAAAAGCTTGCGCGAGAGTGCTGACGGCAGCGTTATTCATCGTAGCACCTATCGTAGCTGGGAACGTCGGGTGTCCGTCAGCAGGCGGCTGGCTCGGAGTGCGCCCATGCAATGGCTGACTACTCGGTAACAAAAAAGCAATGAACTGCCGACCCGGGCAGCAACGCGGATGAATTTCAAAACCGTGCTGAGCACAAAGACCAGGCCAAAAGCACATGTGTATGATTCCATTGAAATGAAACTCTAGAGTAAGCAAGGCGGACCCGTGGTGACGGGAAAGAGACGGTGTGCTGGAGTCGGCTTGCCCCAGCTCCTCGAAGCAGCTGTGGGCTTCTCTCCCTGCGCTGCCTTCATAGCGTTGTGCTGGGAGCTTGATGTTGGCCGTGGTAGGAGTATCTACACCACAGACATGAGCAAAAGCCGTAAAGTGG